ATATATATATATATATATATAATTGAATAGTTTACTGCACCTTTACACAAAATATATTTTTTTAAAAACACATACATAAAAACACATAGTAGCACAGGTATATTTGTAGCAATAGCCAACAATATATATAGGCTATATAAACACTGCGGGTCAAATATTTGTACACCTGAGTCTATATTAGGCCTAATTGCATGCAAGTATGTAACTATTATAAACAGCCTGTAAATATCGTGACACGGATATCAAACTGCTTGTTGCATTAAACTATAAACTGCGTCACAAACACCACAACTTTCCTAAGAAAAATATCACTCACCAAGAAACCCACAGGACTGAATGAGACACGACCAGGATTACAAAAATACCAACTAAAGCATCATTTTAAGAGAAAGAAACTCATCCTGACACCATAAGATATTAGAAATCAACGACTGGCAACCAGTCAAACAATGCAACAAAAACTATTTTTTGTACTAAAACAATGCATAAATCCAATTTACATAAATGCCGGTTCGATTAAAAGATGATAACAGAAAAGCTGCACTGAGATGTAAAAGATGTGTTTTAGGAATAGCTGATAAACCAAAAATCCACAATAATTGACTAAATCTGTGGTTATTTTTCAGCATTAATATAAGAATACCTTCAATTTAAGTTGCAACCCTTAGCAAGCGATTAATAGGTTGTTTTGTTTATTTATTGTTTGCCTGCTTCAATCACTACAACCGCTCAGATTATTTAATCCCACATGTGAAATTATGAATGACATGACTCATTTAGTCGAAGACAAAATTGTTGATTAAAAACGCATGCAAAAATGTGTAACTGTTTGATTAGATCATTGTTTTCACTTTGGTGTTTTTAGCATCTTCTAAACCTTATCCTGATATTTTCAGTTTAGAGATTAGTGTTCGCATGAAACCAGATTTTCGAGAGCGCCCCTAGTGGTGGACAACTGTAACACAACATCATTAATTTTAACCCTTGAACATTTTTTTGTTTTTAAATGGAATAGCTTACTGCACCTTTACACAAAATATAAAAGAAAAAAATACATGTGACCCTGGAGCACAAAAAGCAGTCATAAGTAGCACAGGTATATTTGTAGCAATAGCCAACGATACATTGTATGGGTCCAAATTATCAATTTTTCTTTTATGCCAAAAATCCTTAGGATATTAAGTAAAGATCGTGTTCCATGAAGAAATTTAGTAAATTTCCTACCGTAAATATATCAAAACGTAATTTCTGATTAGTAATATGCATTGCTAAGAACTTCATTTGGACAATTTTAAAGGCGATTTTCTCAGTGTTTTGATTTTTTTGCACTCTTAAGATTCCAGATTTTCAAATAGTTGTATCTCAGCAAAATATTGTCCTATCCTAACAAACCATACATCAATGGAGAGCTTATTTATTCATGTTTCATTATTTATTCTCAATTTAAAAAAAACTACCCTTATGACTGATTTTGTGGTCCAGGGTCACATATGTGTTTTATGTTTTGTACCATATTTGATACATCAGGCATTTATGGCCCATATATTATTTATGTTGAGAATATGGGAAAACATATCAGTTTTACGAAGCAAAAATATGCAGTTTGGTTCAGTTGTTAGGCTATTAATATGGCTAACAATTATACTAGCCTTTTACTTGCTAAAGATGTATGAACTATCAGTTAAAATGCAGAAGGCATGAAGTAGATTGTGTTTTGTGTTTTGATCATGTTGATCATTTAGAAGCCTTAAAAATGTATGTATCAAATATGATAACCCGATGAACTGTTTTTGCCATGTTTTACAGGTATGGAGAGCTTTGATTCAACTACCGATGATTTAAAATCACTTTTAGGCCCCACTTATGATTATGAGCCCAATTTCACTGATATTGATTCCGTCACCGACGCCAACGTCACTGACGTCGCTGAGCTGTGTGAAGCCAGCAGAGAACAGGAGCTGATTATTACTGCTGTCCAGACCATGGTCTTCCTCATCGTCTTCTTCTTAGGTGTAATTGGTAACGGGCTGGTCATTGCCACCTTCGCACGGTACCGCCGTCTACGTCTACGCTGCATGACTGACGTCTTCCTGTTCTACCTGGCTCTGTCCGACATGCTGCTTCTGCTGACTCTTCCCTTACAGACGGGAGAGACGCTTATCGGCAGCTGGGAGTTCGGAGAGGGGCTGTGTAAGCTAAACCGCGGTATGTATGCCATCAACACCTATGGAGGCCTGCTGTTGTTGGCGTGCATTAGCGTTGATCGCTACCTGGTGGTAATTCGCACTAGGACCGTGCGGAAGAAGAGTTCTGGGACGCTGTTTTACAGTACAATGTCTGCGGTTGGCGTCGCAGTAACTTCTGTCTTCCTGAGCCTGCCAGACCTGCGCTTCAGCTCCGTGGAGAACGACATGGGTTCAGACGTCTTCTTGTGCGATATGAAAGTTTGGGGCGATGAAGTGAGTAAATGGAAGCTGTGGGCCCAGATGGCAAAGATCGCAGGATTCTGCATCCCTTGCGTGGCGATGGTGGTGTGTTATGGCGCGATCGGACGCGTCTTGATCCGTGCCGGTGGCAAATGTTGGCGTAGACAGAGGACTTTGCGTCTGATGGCACTTCTGGTGGTTCTTTTCCTCCTGTTCCAGCTTCCTTACACTGTGGTGCTTCTGATTAAAATATTCACACCCACTCCGAAACACTGCGAAGACTGGACCAAGTTCCACCTTCAGGAAAACATAACACGCAATCTGGCATACGTGAGGTGCTGCCTGAACCCTTTGCTCTACGCACTTGTTGGCGTCAGATTCAGAAACGACATTATCAGGCTGTTGACTGACGCCGGGTGTATATGCGCATGCATGTCCCATATAACACCTCATGACAACGGAAGCTCCGTTACACCATCGTCTCCAGCTCCAACCATACTTTCACCCATCCCTACTTACCTGTCCGCCAAGAAAACATCTGGCCCAAACACACCTGCTGCAAACACAGCTGAAACGTTCATTTTTCCAACACCTACATCTGGTAAAATGAATTTGGTTATAAGCTGGTGTCATCAGTGATTTAGCTGCACATCAGAGGATCTGCAATTAATCACTTATTGGTTTAAAAGTGAAAAGAGACAGAGTTGCATGCACACCAAAAGCTTTTATATCTTTTTCTTTTTTTTAGCTTTATGTACAAACACCGTAAAAAATGAAATCTTACTGAGGCTCATAATATGCTTTTTAGAAATGTTCTTTTCTGTATTTTAGATCACTATGTTAGACGAAAAATTACGAAAAAAATGAGTGTTTTAGAAATATCTATCAGGTAGAATTTCATTTTGTAATAAAAAAATATATTTTGCTACAAGTAGCCAAAATGCTTAAAATAAACACTTTTGTTGTATGTGTGTTATTCTCTGCTTTAATCTAAATACTTTTTACCTGAATTCAATACTACTGATATCAATGAACTTTTTTATAATTTCATAATGAAATATATGGAACTTTCAGCACTTCATTTGTCTTATTAATATGCTACATTTGGCAAAACACTAACAACATCGAGGTCTGTTTAGCAGTATGTCCGCGCCACCATGTGGTAAAATCTATGTGAAGCAATGGAATAATGTACAAGACTTGGGATAAACAAATAGAAATTACGAATAATAAATGGATATAATAACAAAAAGACAGATGAAACAGATTAATATATATATATATAATGTGAACATCTATAATACGCTTGTTAAAAGCATCTATTAGTATCAACCTAAGGTACTGCTAATTAACTAAGTTTAAGATCAGTCAGATCAGTAGCTGGCACTGGAACAGCTAGTGAACTTGTTTAATCATTCTTGAGACATGGGACAAAACAGGTCCAGTAAGGGTAACTGCTATTAGATTTAAAAATAATATAAATAAATATTTTCAATTTTAAATGTCATGAGGGATTAATAATAGAATGTATTTACCACCATTATCACCTTCAATTAAATTTTCTCATTATTATACCTAATCTATGTTTCTTAATGTCCACTCACTACGTCTAAAACAGTGTGTCCACAGAGAAGGGTTCAAGCATTCATATGCAATAAAATGGATAAAAAATTTTTTTTTTTTAATGATGAAAAAGAGCTCGTTTTATCAAAAGCAACACTTAATATCTCCTATCAAAGCAAGGTTGTTTTTTCATTACACATGCATGTTTAATAAGATTTTAAAGTTGCGTCCCCACTTTTTGTCGATACCGTCAAGACATTCAATAAAATGTAATAAAATCAGGGAATATCAGGGGCAGCTGTCACTCTAAAGGACCCCCTTGCCACAGTTCACCTGTCTCAGTGTCAGACAGGCTCTGCTAAGTTTTAGTTTTAGAATATTTTAACTCCTAACGTTAATATTTCCTTTGTCACAGCCATGATACGTCAACACCATCTTCCAATTTCTGAGGAAATTATTGGAAATATTTAGATAATTGTATTCTGAAGCAGGTTCCATTAGCATCTAGCATCAACAGAAACTAATAAAATGGCTGCTACATGAACTCCATTGGTTTTGTGAAAGAAATGCCAAATTTGTCACCACCGTCAGATGTCACCACCATAAGATTTTAAGTTCCAATAATATATCAAAATACTGAAATGTGACTCTTGAATAAAAGCTTTATAAACAATAACATGATATTTGTTGTGGAATTGTTGGTCACATGTGAAAGTGTAATCTGTCTGCTAACACGAGAATGTGTTTTGAAATGTTAAAAACATCTTGAATGCTGTTAAAGATAAAGCTGAAATTATATTACACCGTCCAAGCTAAAAAAAAAAAAGCACATTTTGTTAAAAAAGAGAAAAGTTGGGAGGTTGTATCAAAGCATAGCTCAGTACATATAAGATACATAAAAGTAGTTTCATTTTTCTGAGTACAGGTTTTATTTTTTACATTTTGCACCCTGTTTTGTCCCACTTCTCAAGAATGACTGAGGGTTGATATAGTGACTTAACTCAGTTTTACCTCAGAAACATCTGACCAGCATCCGACACACTACACAGAAGCTCAGCACTCGATGCGAAACTAGCTAAAACGCTACCTGCGACGCACGCGTGTGCCATCAGGAAATGAACATTTCACGTTACTGCCACCTGGTGGTCGAATGGATAAAGCGCACCTATACAACTGCTGGGTCCTGTTACAGTCGTTGATTTCACGTTTGGTTTTGCAGCTAATTCTTTAATAAAATCAATAAATTCAGTATCTGCCATCTATCTCTTTTGATTATTACAAAATGTAGCATCCTTCTGGATGGAATTAGCAGGCAGTATTTGCAGTGATAATAGTCTACAACAGCTGCTCAGCAGGGAAGGTGGGAGATCAGAAGTAGGCTAACTCTTCATGCAATGATTGCTCAGCTTTCAGCTGTATGCAAGACATTTGTGATGAAGTTGTTTGTGACTATATCACTAAAATCCATAAGTAAGTAGAAAAAAGTTGAAATGGGTTTAATAAAAGCTCAAACACACAATACAAATTAGTGTACACATGCAAAAACATGTGCAGAACTTTAAGGCTTAATATAATTTAAACGGATGAGTTATAAAAATATTCACCCCCCTCACAGTTGTCATGAAGGGCAAAATTAACTATATAGACCAAAATCATTTTTTGAACCAGGCTGTAAACATGTTTTTTTCTGCTGTAAAGTTGGGCATTTTAACATGGGGAGTCTATGGGATTGACTCCCTTTTGCAGCCGGCCTCTAGCGGCCAGTCGATGAATTACAGTTTAAGTCACTTCCTTGTTGGCTTCACGAGAGAGAGCGAGAGGCTGCCGCTTGGTATTTATGCACTATTCTATGACGTTTTGTAGTATAAATAGTGCGAGTAGTGCGTTCACACTGAAAATTCCAAAATTTAAAAAGTGCACTCTAAATACCCGGATGATGCACTTAAATAACCGTTACATTAATATAAATGGCTGATATATTTTTTTGAATGATTACACGTTTAATGATTACTTTACTAACATTAGCCCACATTAAACAAATTCACTGATTCGTAGGATCTTATTTCATGCTTTAACAGGTGAATCTTCAACTTCCATTTTTTAGCTAAGCACTGAGCAGTAATGATACATTATTATGTCACTTTTTAAATGGTTATTTAACAATTGCATCCAGTCCTGCTGCCTACATTAACAGTGTGATTCAGTTTGTAATATATATATATATATATACCAAAATTTATAGTTGAAGTTCACTGCGTTTCAGTGCAGCTCTGATGTGGTATTTTATGCATATTAATTTGGTCAAAGCTGGCATGCTTTAGTGCAATTTTTATGCTGCATTAAAAAGCTGCTTACTTTTAATTAATTTATTTGTCAATGATATTTGTTGTGGAATTGTTGGTCACATGTGAAAGTGTAATCTGTCTGCTAACACGAGAATGTGTTTTGAAATGTTAAAAACATCTTGAATGCTGTTAAAGATAAAGCTGAAATTATATTACACCGTCCAAGCTAAAAAAAAAAAAGCACATTTTGTTAAAAAAGAGAAAAGTTGGGAGGTTGTATCAAAGCATAGCTCAGTACATATAAGATACATAAATGTAGTTTCATTTGTCTGAGTACAGGTTTTATTTTTTACATTTTGCACCCTGTTTTGTCCCACTTCTCAAGAATGACTGAGGGTTGATATAGTGACTTAACTCAGTTTTACCTCAGAAACATCTGACCAGCATCCGACACACTACACAGAAGCTCAGCACTCGATGCGAAACTAGCTAAAACGCTACCTGCGACGCACGCGTGTGCCATCAGGAAATGAACATTTCACGTTACTGCCACCTGGTGGTCGAATGGATAAAGCGCACCTATACAACTGCTGGGTCCTGTTACAGTCGTTGATTTCACGTTTGGTTTTGCAGCTAATTCTTTAATAAAATCAATAAATTCAGTATCTGCCATCTATCTCTTTTGATTATTACAAAATGTAGCATCCTTCTGGATGGAATTAGCAGGCAGTATTTGCAGTGATAATAGTCTACAACAGCTGCTCAGCAGGGAAGGTGGGAGATCAGAAGTAGGCTAACTCTTCATGCAATGATTGCTCAGCTTTCAGCTGTATGCAAGACATTTGTGATGAAGTTGTTTGTGACTATATCACTAAAATCCATAAGTAAGTAGAAAAAAGTTGAAATGGGTTTAATAAAAGCTCAAACACACAATACAAATTAGTGTACACATGCAAAAACATGTGCAGAACTTTAAGGCTTAATATAATTTAAACGGATGAGTTATAAAAATATTCACCCCCCTCACAGTTGTCATGAAGGGCAAAATTAACTATATAGACCAAAATCATTTTTTGAACCAGGCTGTAAACATGTTTTTTTCTGCTGTAAAGTTGGGCATTTTAACATGGGGAGTCTGTGGGATTGACTCCCTTTTGCAGCCGGCCTCTAGCGGCCAGTCGATGAATTACAGTTTAAGTCACTTCCTTGTTGGCTTCACGAGAGAGAGCGAGAGGCTGCCGCTTGGTATTTATGCACTATTCTATGACGTTTTGTAGTATAAATAGTGCGAGTAGTGCGTTCACACTGAAAATTCCAAAATTTAAAAAGTGCACTCTAAATACCCGGATGATGCACTTAAATAACCGTTACATTAATATAAATGGCTGATATATTTTTTTGAATGATTACACGTTTAATGATTACTTTACTAACATTAGCCCACATTAAACAAATTCACTGATTCGTAGGATCTTATTTCATGCTTTAACAGGTGAATCTTCAACTTCCATTTTTTAGCTAAGCACTGAGCAGTAATGATACATTATTATGTCACTTTTTAAATGGTTATTTAACAATTGCATCCAGTCCTGCTGCCTACATTAACAGTGTGATTCAGTTTGTAATATATATATATATATATACCAAAATTTATAGTTGAAGTTCACTGCGTTTCAGTGCAGCTCTGATGTGGTATTTTATGCATATTAATTTGGTCAAAGCTGGCATGCTTTAGTGCAATTTTTATGCTGCATTAAAAAGCTGCTTACTTTTAATTAATTTATTTGTCAAACTATCAAAATTTGTAGACCACCAGATTGTTTTTTTAATGATTCAAATCCAAAAAGGCGAAAAGAAAACATCTTAATACAAAGAGCCAAAATAAAGATAAAGCACATTTTTGTACATTTAAAAAAAGGAGATTTATGCTAAACAGCCCAAAAATATCACCTTCACATTTAACGTCACTAAAAACATTTGTGCATGATGTCTATCCACACGCACACACAAAAACATGAATCCATAAAGTCGTACCGTATTTTCAGCCAGTGAATCTGCTGATAAGGGATTGTTCAAATCTGCTGGAAAACCAGTAGGTGGCGCAACTGCTCAGTACTGTTTTAATGTTTTGAGCGAGCACTGATTTGCAGAGGCTACTGTGTAACATTTTAATCTTTTAAAATTTTAATCTATTTTTAAAAAGAAATAACTACTTCTATGTGCGTTTTGGCATTCATAAAATGTTAGTTTGACCTTTAAACTACAAGGTGAATAATAAAACATATAATAGTAAGCACTGTAGTCATATAACAAACACTTTTATTCAAAGCTCCCTATAGCACAATAGAAGGAGAACATATTGAGTACAAATCCTCAGATGCAGTGTAAAGGAACTGCTGTGTCAGATGAGGCTATTACATTTATTATGGTTACTATGGGCTACCATTTGCATTGCAAATTAACACTGCAGGGACACAATTATGGTGCATTCTCTAGTAAATCCAAATAAAATCTAGTAAATAAAAATAATTTATAAAAAATTATATATAAAAAATATAACACATTTAAAAAGTTTGGACTCAGGAATATATCTTAAGAAAATAATACTTTAATTAAGCAAAGACATATGAAATTGACCAAAACTGACATTAAAGACTTTTATATTATTACTTTAAAATAAAAATAAAAATAATAAAATCAGCATATTATAATGATTTCTGAAGGATCGTGTGACACTGAAGGTGCGGAAAATTCAGCTTTACATCACAGGAATAAATTACATTTTAAAATATATTCAAATAGAAAGAAGTTATTTGAAATTATGATAATATTTCATTATATTACTGTTTTGTTGCACATAAGAGACTTATTATTTAAAAAAATATTTTTTTTAAATCTTATCAACCCCAAACAATTCTTATTATAAAGATAAATATATATAAAATAATTTATTAGTATATATTATTATTTTCTTTTTTTTAAATTAACACTTTTGTGGCACTATAGATTCGCCGTTACAACTGTTCACAAAAGTCTGAAGTCATCCAGAAAGAGTGTGTGTGGTGTTATTTGGTAGTCTTTAGCATCCTAGCAACACACACCAACAAGTAACATGAGACCGTGGTTGTAGGTGGACATCCGAGTCAGTATCAGGTGTTTATATAAGACATACACACTGATGAGAGTCTACAGATCCAGCACTAGGATCCAGAAGCTTCCCAGTCCCTGCCTCCTCTCTCATATCACTCACTCCTCTCCTCCCTACCTGAGCTACTCTCTCCAGGATGGAGCAGAGAGATGTTGCAGAGACCATAAAACGACCAAGAGACATCAGAATAGACAACAGCCTTGCCTACTGGAGTCATTTTTCTATCTGTATACATAAGTTATAGGTTTGCCTACTGCAAATGGACAACACCATCAGAAGACTTGGAAGAACCTGAATATGTCAGCAACTATGTAAAAAAATATATATTTTATTGACTTTTTAACAGAACCAAATTCTGTAAGATTCAAGCTGTGTTTTCAAAAAGTCCCACCGTTTGACCTGCTACACTGGGACTAAACAAGAACACATATAGAAGTGTCAGCAAGTTGTAGAACTTCATTGAGCGAGACTTATATTATCTGGACTGTATATGTGTACCTCTGCATGTAACTCTGAATACAGCCATGGGGAACGCAGCTGGAAGTCTGGAGATGTCACCCGGACGGGACGTCAAACGGCCCCTCAGCACATATGGGCAGAAACAGTCACCGGCCCCTAAACTGCCCCTACCACCTGAGGAGGAATTAGAGCAGAGGTTCAACATTGTGTTGGTAGGTACATGACATATCCCATAATTTCATAGACTAAAAGAGGGGGTTCAGCTTTAAAATGTCATTTCCTTTTTGTTAAAGTGTTTTGCTGATTGAACATAGAAAAACAGCATGTTCAAGTACAGTATGTGTGTAATGTGCCACTGCATTAACTACAAATGCACCATGATATGCATCTCTTTGCATTCAACAGCAAAGGTTATTATCAAATGAACACAGATAGGACTTTCATATGACTGGAAATTGAAACAGCACAGCCTGTTTGAATGACATAATACAGCTAGTTGTACCACGTTAGGTTGTAGACTGTGATGGAATGTGTACTGAGGTCATTGCATTCATACGCGTGTTTGTGAAATCTCCCAGAGTATGAGTTGTACAGTTTAATGCATCATTAGGTGTATTTCATGTGCTTTATCTACTTGTATCGTCTGCATCTCATTTATTATGAGTGCACTGTATGTGAGTTTGGGGGTTTACTTTAAAGTAGTACAGGTAGTTAATCCAAAGATTACAGTTCTGTCGTTTATTCACTGTTACACCATTCCAAACTGGTATGACTTTCTTTCTTTACATACAATGAACATAGATGGTAATCGGGGGCTGTCAAACAAAAAACTGATTTGGAGAAATTTAGCTTTACATCACTTGCTCTGAGTCCTCTGCAGTGAATGGGTGCCGTCAGAATAAGAGTCCAAACAGCTGATTAAAAACATCACAATAATCCACAAGTAATCCACACCACTCCAGTCCATCAATTAACGCCTTGGGAAGTGAAAAGCTGCGTGTTTGCAAGAAACAATCCATAATTAAGAAGTTTTTAACTTCAAGCCACTGCTTCCGGCTAAAATACAAGTCCATAATCCCTAATAACGCTTCCTGCAGTGAAAAAGTTGCCTTGTCTGAATCAGGAGAGAAATATGCACAGATCAAGCACAGTTTACATGCAAAAACAGTCCAAAACAGATCTAGACAAATATGTTGGTGGGTTTTTATGTGAGAAGACAACAAGGCATGGACTTTTTTAATGGATTATGGGCTTGTTTTTTGCCCAGAAGCGGCGGTTTAAAGTTAAATCGTCTTAATGATGTATTTACTTCTTACAAACACGCAGCTTTTCACTTTTCAAGATGTTAACTGATGGACTGGAGTGGTGTCGATTATTGTGATGTTTTTATCAGCTGTTTGGACTCTCATTCTGACGGCACCCATTCACTGCAGAGCATCCATTGGTGAACAAGTGATGTAATGCTACATTTCTCCAAATCTGTTTTGATGAAAAAATAACAACAAAAAAACTCATCTACATCTTGGATGGCCTGAGGGTGAGTACATTTTCAGCTAAATTTCATTATTGGGTGAACTATTCCTTTAAATTTGTCCATATGGCTGGCCGGTTATAGTTGGAATAACCTACATATCAACTAGTTAATCTAATTCATGGAAACTCTGAACCAGATTCACAGTAGAGAATTTTACACGGCAGTTTCCAAATCCAACAGTCCACATGCACCTGTCCACATTCCACAAGTACCTGTGTTTAAAATTTATATTTAGCCAGTGTTTTACTCTTTATATAACTTAAATGCATCTGACTCTAGTGTGTGTTAGTAAAGCCAGCTGTAATTTATTCCATGTTAATTAATTTACTCTGCCAATATCCTTGATGTTGTTCCTAAATCAGATAAGCACTCCACACTTTCCCATCATAAAGCAGTGAAAGGCCATCTAATCTACGAACAAGTATTACAGTGCACATGCAGACCCTCCATCAAACTCAAACAGTTTAATTTTATCCAGAAACCATCTACAATGCCTACGGAGAAAGAGAGAGTTTGTGACATGCTGTGTGTATAATGGAAATAGAATGCAAATAATGCACGCAGCACCAGCAGCGTGTTCGTGATAAAACACACAATTAAAATAGCAATCACTCAAGCACACCTAGTCGGGTACAAAATGTAAATATTACAACACAAAGCTTCAGTGCAATTACCTGTGAGCTTATTTAGTAAAAGTTATAAGAATTATTAAATTAAAAACTGGATAAACAATAATCAAGTGGGCATATACACATGCAAATTCATGCAAATACACATTTACTGAGAATTCTGCATTCTCTTCTTTGTGAGGCTGAATTTATGTATATAAAAACAATAATTCTGTCCTTGTTCACACATGCATGTGTTTTAGCATTTAAAACACTCAAGCTGATGCTTTCTACATCGCCTTGCCAAGGGGAGGAGTGCAAAACATCTGCAAAAACAACAGGCCTGTAATTATACAAATGACCCATTCAGTTATTGATATTTTGCATGTGGCCACTTACCGAAAGGACAAACCATCCATCTTCAGCAGTAGTCCAGCCTTCAACTGATCTAGAAACATCCAGGACAAAAATCTATTAGATACAATGAATCAAAGTCAGCTCTGAATGTATTTCAATATACTTATTACTGCAAAAAAGTTGTCATAAAAACTAGTCTGATGGTTGAAAACAATAATAGTATAAGAAAACATCAAGCTGAGCTCTTAAGAGGTGTACAATTATGAAAGTAGACATGTATGTGATTTATCTACATCATCTGCATCTTATTTATGATGTGCAGTTATTTTATTATTATTGAGATACTATTATAGTTTTTATTAAAATTTTTAATGTTTTATTTTTATTTTTATATTTTCCTTTTTCATTTTAATTATAGTTAAAATTTTAGTAATTTTGTTGTTTTTGTCATTTTTAGAAGTTCTGTTAGTTAGTAGTAGTTTTTATTCATTAATTTTTCAGCTTTAGTTTGAGTTATTCTAGTACATCAAGTTCAACTAAGTTAAAATGAGAAATGTTGCCTCGACACCTGGCTGAAATAATTTTTATATATCTTTTATTTCAGTTCATGTTTATTTTATTTTAAGGAACAAAAATGTTTTTTGTAATGGTTATATTTTATTACTGAATAATTTCAGTTTTAGTTTTAGGTAGCCCTAATGATTAATGATGAGTGTGTGACTGTGTAACTACTTTTCTGAACTACTTTAAAGTAATTAAATTACTTTTAAAAAATGTTTTTTTTTTTTTTTTTAATTATTAAAGTAATTAATCCAAAATTTTTAATTCTGTCATTTATTGACCCTTCCAAACTCATATGACCTTCTTTCTGAATGTACAATTAAAGTAAATGGTGATCAGGGTCAGTCAAACTCCAAAAAAGGACAAAAAGCATCATTAATGCATCATTAAAGTAGTTCATATGCACTGTATTTCATGGCTACAATAGCTTTGTATGAGAAACAGACTGAAATCTAAGTCATTATTTGCTGAAAATCCTCCTTGATTAGTCATCTTTGTGGAAAATCGCAACTGGGACTTTCTAAAATATCTTATAAGTCATAAATGTCTTCTTTTGTGACCCATAAAAGAAAGAAAAAAATAATATGGGCTTTAATAAACATCTTTGAATAAAGTGTCTTAAAAATATAAAGCTTAATTTTTTATTAAATAAATATATTACAAAATCCATGAGGTGATTATAAAAAGTACCTGTTTCGGCTTACAAATATACAAAAAACTCATGCAAATATGATAAGCTGAAAACAGTATAATCTTCCAGCGTAATTCTGCTGAAGGTAAAGTAATATGACAGCTCTGAATGTGCATGTGTACCGCAGTATATGCTGGATTGCTGCATTAACCACTGATGCATAAATTATCTGTGTACATACTCACATTTAAGCATTTGAGTACTTCAGGATTCAGAATAATATGTGATGAAGTTATGTTAGCTGACCTTGTCCTGAAAACTGTTGAACTGTTTTCAGGGGATAGAAGAACATGTAAAAAAAGGACAAGGAAAGAACAAGCAAAGGGCAGACACTACATTCAGAAAGGAGAGAAATATAAAGCAGTCAGTGATGGTTGAAGAGTTGGAAGTGTTTTGTCCTTGATTCTATTTTTCTCCAGCCTCCTTGTCCTCATTTCACAGGTAGAAAAGGTAATCTATTATAAAGACAAAAGAAACTATGAGATCTGAATTAAAACAAGCAAAAGTATCACTGTTTATACGACAGATGCAACCCGACAATTATAAGCTTGACAATAATCAATGAAGTTGTCTGCACTGCAGGCTTTCCATAAAGAAAGATTGTTTGAGAGAGAGAGAGATTGTCTCTGTGTCTGTCTGTCTGTCTGTCTGTCTCTGTGTGTGTGTGTGTGTGTGTGTGTGTGGTGTGGTGTGTGGTGTGTGGTGTGTGTGTGGTGTATGTGTGTGTGTGTGTTTGCCCTAAAGCAATATTTCTGCAGATTGCAGTTTTTTTCTCCCATTGACCTGCTTTGCAAATTGGGACACAGTGACATGCTAATATGCCGTGCTTAGCGAAAAACTGTAATTCAATATGCGCAAAAATGAAATGCAATAGTCAAACATGATGTCCTGGATGTAACTTTTACATGTCATATACACTACCCCTCAATAGTCTGTGTTCAGTTAGATTTTTACAATATTTTCTGCTAACAGTAAAAACTGTAAAATTGTGAAATATTATTACAATGTAAAATAACTGTTTTGTAGTTGAATATATTGTAAAATGCAATTTATTCTGTGATGCAAAGCTGAATTTTCAGCATCATTACTCCAGTGTTCAGTGTCACATGATCCTTCAGAAATCATTCTGATATGCTGATTTGCTGCTCAACAAACATTTCTGATTATTATAAATAATGAAAACAGTTGTGCTGCTTTATATTTTTGTGGAAACTGTGAGGATTCAGGTTTCTATGATGAATAGAAATGTAATCAGAATAGAGATTTAATCAGTGGCGTTTGCTTAATGTTGCTCATAGTTAGAGATTTGAACAAACCACTTGAGCATCTAACTCATCCATGAATGATCATGAATGAACTCGAATTGTGTGAGACTTTGTGGAGATCTATTACCACACCAGAAATCAATACTTTTATTAAGCATTAAACTGATTTAAAGTGACATCTGTTACAAAAGATTTCTATTTCAAATGCTATTCTTTCGAACTTTCTATTAATCAGAGAATCCTAAAAAAAAATGTATCCACAAAATATTAAGCAGCAAAAACTGTTTTAACATTGATAAAATGTTTCTTGAGCAGCAAAGCAGCATATTAGAATGATTTCTGAAGGATCATGTGACACTGAAGACTGGAGTAATGATGCTGAAAATACAGCTTTGATCACAGGAATAAATTACATTTTAACATATACTAAATTTGAAAACAGTTATTTTAAATTGAAATATTATTTCACAATATTACTGTGTTTTGATCAAATAAATGCAGCCTTGGCAAGCATAAGACAATGGAGGACGAACTTGAAGATGATTTTCATAATGTTTTAGGGGATTTAGACGCAGCTTGCACACACACTCTGTGTGTTTGTGTGTGTGTGTGTGTGTGTGTGTGGGTGTATGCGCAGTATCATCTGATGCTCACTGTCTGCTGAGTCACTGATGAAGTAATTCTGTAGGGCAATAACAGTGTGTGTGTGTGTGTGTGTTTGTGTGTGTGCAAATGCAAACACTCATGCTGTTCATAAATAATTTAGGAGATCGTCATAGCAACAGGACATTCACACAGCACTAATCTGCTGGTTCAGAAAGGGCATTCTTAGAGTCAGCATACCTTATTATACATGTGATCTGTCCGCTGCTCGTAATCTGGCTCACTTACTCATCAGTTCATATGTGACCATCTGCAAACAAGTGTAATGTGTGACTGGTGCCTCAGTAACTCTGCATTTAAACACTGCAATAGTCTGGGAACAAATTACAACTAGATCTGAAGAAAATGTGGGCTGTGCAAAACTTGCCACTGAGATGTTTGGGTGCTGTGGGTGGTTGGCAGGATGTTGCTATGTGGTTGCCAAGGGGATTTGGGTGGCTGCTAGGGTGTTTCTAGGTCACCTGGCTTTTTTCCTCCTTCATTGTTATTCAATGAGATTTTTTTTTTTTTGCCATTGTTATCATCCACCAGGCATAAATCTGTGAAAAGTAGGAAGCACCATCAACTAATACTTAAATACAAAAGAGAGACTTTTTTAAGTTATACAGTTTTATTAGCAAACCATCTTTGTACTGGTGCGACTGGCACCCAGAAATCGATAAGCTGATCTGAGGAACCGATACTACTGTTCTAAAGTTTGGTATCAGCTATTTGAAATCGTAATAATATTTCACAATGTTAATGTTTTTACTGTATATTTGATCAAACGAATTAAGCCTTCTTTCAAAAACATGAAAAAATATTACCGACCCCAAACGTTTGAAAGGCAGTGTTTAATGAAATATCATTTTTACTCTCTAAAAAACTCGACCATGAAAAATGGTTCTCAATAAAGTTCTTTGCTGAACCCAAAGGTGCTGAAAAAAAAAATCATTTTTAAAAGTTTGCCTCATTAGCTCTAGTGGAATAGAGCTAATGGCTCTGTAGAATTAATATAAATGAATTCAGACTTACAAAAAGGTTTATGATTTGTCTCTTGCTCTGTGCTTGTAGAATTCCATGAATCTTCCACCTGATAAAGTGAAGCTGCTCTGTCAGTATGACAATGAGAAGAAATGGGAGTTAGTTTGTGACCAGGTGAGTTCAGAGCAAAAACATTAAAACGTTCACTTTTTACACATTAATTTACCATAAAGCAGTCTTTACTACCCAAACGACATATTAACACACCTTCAAAATGAAAAACACAATTGTCCTTGCTCTTTAAAAACTAAAAACTTCCTCTCAAGTACACCCAGTGCATTCATTGAAACTAAATGGTTAAGAAATAATAATGGTTTTGATGTCACAAATATGATGTCATTACCATATGACCATAAATAAAAAATAAATAAATGAATAATTAAATAAATAAATATTCACCAATCGATTAGCAAGCAGGGTCATTCACATGTCAAAGTCTTAAAGGTACAGTAAAAATAATGATCATGAGGGTTGAACATTTTCAAATGTTCATTCTTTACTAAAAAATAGTTTAAACTTTTGATGCACACATGTGAATACCAACTTCTTGTTTCTCTCCTCAGGAGCGGTTTGAGGTGAAGAATCCTCCATCAGTGTACATTCAGAAACTTAAGAGTTTATTAGAGCAGGGAGGAGGCAGAAAGGTAGATATGTGTTGGAGTTTGTGTATATGTCAATAAATCTGAGAGCGAGATATAGAACTCGTCCAGTTATAATCAATCAAACTGGAATATGTGAGTGATTTTAATTAATAAAATTATATGTGTGTGATTTGTAGTTTAAGAGGAGAGTCCAAGAATCCACACAAGTTCTGAGAGAGCTGGAAATCTCTTTGCGCACCAATCACATCGGGTAAGAGCCATCACATGACATGCAGTGTTATTGACTATGCATGTTACTGGCCTGATTACATTATAAATGAACATATAATTGTTACCACTTTTTTAACATTAAAGTTTCACATGTTAAAGGAATAGTTCAACTAAAAATTAAAATTAACTGAAAATCTATTCACCCTCAGGCCATCCAAGATGTTGATGTAGAGTTTGTTTCTTCATCAGAACAGATTTGGAGAAATTTCGCATCACATCACTTGCTCACCAATGGACCTTCAGCAGTGAATGGGTGCCGTCAGAATAAGAGCCCCCCCCAAAAAATGCACAATAATCCACAAGTAATTCACACCACTCCAGTCCATCAATTAACATCTTGTGAAGCAAGGATTTGTTCCTTTCAAACATGCAGCTTTTCGCTTCACAAGATGTTAACTGATAGACTGGAGTGGTGTGGATTACTTGTGGATTATTGTGATGTTTTTATCAGCTGTTTGGACTCTCAATCTGACGGCACCCATTCTCTGCAGAGCATCCATTGGTGCGCAAGTGATGTAAATTTCTCCAAAGCTGTTCCCATGAAGAAATAACTCATGTATACAAATCCTCAGGGTGAGGAAATTTTCAACAAATTTAAATTTTTGGGAGAACTGTTCCTTTAAAAGCAGGTTTCTGAAATATTCCATGAGAAACCTGCAGCTGTGTGTGTCTGTGTCAACACTGGATTGTAATAAATCTGTCACTCGTAATTTATCTTACTTGTGCTTCTTTTATTCTTCATTGTATTGTTCTCTCTGTATGTTCAGGTGGGCTGAGGAGTTTCTTAATGAAGAAAACAAAGGTTTAGATATGCTAGTGGACTACCTCTCTTTTTCTCAACGAGGAGTCACGTATGCACACACACACACACACACACACACACACACACACACACATTGTCCAAGACACAATAGAGAAACCTAAATTCTTAATGTGACAAGGCATCTGGGAAGAGAACGTGCTCTGACCATCCAATGCCTGAAACCACCCCTCTGATGCCAGTTAGCTAACACTGCTATTATATTCACTAATCTGAGCAACAAACAAACTTTACCGAACAAAGCAACACTGTATGGTGGTCAAACTGCTTTTTGATGTTTTTAAAAGAATATGCTCACCAAGCATATTTATTTGGACAAAAAAATACAATAAAAACAGCAGTATAGTGAAATATTATTACAATTTAAAGTATCTGTTGTCTATTTGAATATATGTTAACATTTAATTTATTCTTGTGATGCAAAGTTTAATTTTCAGCATCATTACTCCAGTCTTCAGTGTCACATGATCCTTCAGAAATCATTCTAACATGCTGATTTGATGCTCAAGAAACATTTATTATTATCAATGTTGAAAACAGTTGTGCTGTTTAATTAACATGCTGTGTTTTTACAGATATGACATGGACAGCTCTGAAAATGGAAGCTTTGATGAGAAATCTGTGGAAGATTTGACCCCCAGTGCGACAAACTCCCCTACCCACAATTCCCCACGCTCTGGACGCCCCTTCACCACAAGGTCAGTCATGTACTGTATATTAAACCGCTCTGACATGATGAATAATACATCTTGTTTCTTATTCAAGCGATTTTTAGATCTGCATGTCATGGTTGTGAAGTTGTGTTTCAGAGCACTAAATAACATAATCATTAATAATTAATTAATTTATATTTCATGTATTAGTTATTTATCAAATTTAACATGTCTATAAGAGTTCTTTTCACATGTGTGGTTTCAGTTCCGGCATTTTGTTGTTAATTTGGAATCTATTTTAGTACAGAAGTTACTGATGAATTATGATTTGTTCATAAAAGCTTTCGTTCGCTCAACATGAGATCAGCATGCACACGTGCTAAACTCTCTTACTGTACTATCATGAGTGTTATCAAGTATGTCTGCAATGCATTTTTTTTAGATCAAAACAAGCGATCAAACGCAAACACACACACACACCCATCCAAACGCTTCTATCAGGATCAACTGCATTCCTGTTTCAGAGAGTTTGTTTGTGTGCATCTGTGTCACATACAGTACAGTACTTTTACTATTAATGATGTTGAGATTTCCAGATGTGGAAGATTACACAAAAACATAGTTCTGCTTTTAATTAATTTGTTTCTGACTTTGACTTTTTCGTATTTAAACGGAATAATTTATTTCCTTATGAAGATTTAAGAATTGACTATACATGTAAATGTAAATAGGATGTAAATAAAAAAAATTTATATGAAAAAATATTATAATATTTAATATATTTAACATGACTTCTTTTGCTCAGGAAAGCTCTGCAATACTCATCTCTGCTCAGCCAGAAGAACCACCTGCACCTCTGCATTATGTGCCTCCGTGCCATAATGAACTACCAGGTACTTCTCATCTCACTCTCATCTCATCTCGTCTCATCTCTTGACTAATGCGTGTGTGTGTGTGTGTGTTAGTTAGGGTTTAATCAGGTGATGGCTCATCTCAGCTGTGTCAATGAAATCACCCTGAGTCTCAACAACAAGAGTGCCAGGTGAGAGGAAACCTGAGTGGTGTGTGTGTGTGTGTGTGTGTGTGTTTTAAATCTTTTGTTTCTACACTATTGTACATACATACCCGTGAGTTTGTGTTTAGGACTAAAGCTCTGGTTCTGGAGCTCCTTGCTGCAGTGTGTTTGGTTCGAGGAGGTCATGAAATGATTATTGCAGCCTTTAATAATTTCAAAGAGGTAAGAAAATACTAGCCTTCTTTCTTCGTCTGTCCATCTCACCATCATCACCACCTCCATTGTCTTATTGTGCACAATTCAACACTGTAAATTAACATAACATAATCAAAACAACTATAAAAAGAACAAAAAGCCAAAAATATTATAATATATATATATATATACTAAAACACTAAAACGTTTGTCTTAATAAAATATTATAAAATATACCCAAACATAATATAATAAAATATTATAATACAAAATATTTATTATATACATGATAAAAAGAAAAATGTTTGTTTTAGTAAAATAAAATCTAATATGATATACCAAAACAGAATATAATCAAAAATAATAATAAAAAAGAAAAAGAAAAGGAAAACATTTTATGATTTTAAATGTGTTATAAAAATAATAGAAAGAAAAAAGTTTACTTTTATTCCTAGTGAATGACCTGCAGAGAGCTGGGACCAAAGTAACAAAGGCTACCATCAGTAACACACTGCGCCGCCAGGGACAAGAAAAAAGTTTAAATAATATTTAAAATAATAATCAAAAAAATATATTATAAAATAATAAAAATGAAAAAGGTTGTTTAAATAAAATATGATCAAATATAATATATCGAAACATATAATAAATATAATTTAAAAATTACAATATTATAATATTAAATATGTATTATAAAATTGTTTTAATAAAATATAATAGACCAAGGCATAATATAATTAAATTAAATTCTTTAAAAAACTTCTATACGTGCATACATTTTTAAGTGTGGCTTAACTGTCCGAATACTTTTTATGACCACATATATAATTTCAAAGTGAAAGTAACATGACGTGTAGCCCAGTATGGTGTCCCATTCTAGAAATTTGTGCTGTGCATTTAACCCATCCAAGTGCACACACACACACACACACCCGGAGCAGTGGGCAGCAGTTGGGGGTTTGGTGCCTTGCTCAAGGGTCTCACCTCAGTCGTGGTATTGAGGGTGGAAGAGAGCGCTGTACATTCACTCCCACCACATACAATCCCTGTTATTATAGAGACTCGAACCCGCGACCTCTGAGTTACAAATCCACGACTGCCCCGCAACTCATAATTCAAAGACCCAAACCATTAGTTATTCTCTCAGACGCTGAATGAACACAAACACGTGATGAGATTGAGATACAAGTGTCTGATCTGCTGTTAAACTCAAGTAACCTGAAGCTCATACTGTGATATCAGCCGTTACACCCGTCTGCACTGAGAGAGATAGACATGACAAAACTAGATCATTCCCTTTATAAAGACACATACAAAGGACACATGATCAGCTTGCAATCTCACACATTCACATGGACGTTATTTTGAAAGTCTGTGCGTTTATTCATTGTCACAAAAACATTTGTGTGGGTGTTGATTCAGATGCATATCTGTGACAGCAGAAAGGGATATGCAAACTGCTAAAACACTGTATCTGCTTAAAGGTTTCCCATCCATATGTCCTCATTGTTTTTGTGAATGCACATACTTTGCATAAAACTGTAACACAAACTTCCTGTAGCAAGAACTAATAATTAGAGACAGGTTTTGCATGGAATATTAAGCCAATGACAAATGATGAATGATCATGTGACATCAAATATCACTGAAAGGTCTCGTAATTTAGTAAAATGTTCTTACTTTATGGTCAAGTACTTGCTAACAGACAATTTAATCCAAAACAGCGTACAGTAAACTCACGTACAGTAAACAATTCCCTCTGAGAAACCTGTGAATGTGTCTGTATGTTCATGCAGGTGTGTGGAGAGAAAAACAGATTCGAGAAACTCATGGAATATTTCAGAAATGAAGACAACAACATTGATTTCATGGTGAGGACACGCAGAATGCTTCATTTGACAACCTTTATGTATTTATTTTCATGTTTTATCAGATTCTCACACTAATTGTATGGCATTTAGCTCAACAAAAAGGATGACAAACATCTATATTTATGGTCCATTTGTACGTTGACTTACTTTTCACTTTTACACTTTAGGACAAGCAGAAAGTGTATTTATAATCATATGATTAAAATATGTATTTTAATCATTTTTCTATATCAGTATTACAAATTCACCATATTAACATCACATGCACACATAACATACATAATGCATTGGATTTCTGGACATACATTAAGGTTTATCCTTGCTGACCTGGGATCATCAGCGTGAGGAAAACTGATCAACATATTTGGACTTTTTCACCTCTAGGTGGCTTGTATGCAGTTTATCAACATTGCAGTGCACTCAGTGGAGAACATGAACTTCAGAGTATATTTACAGTACGAGTTTACACAACTGGGACTAGACAGCTATCTGGAGGTGAGCAACTTACATTCGCTACTGTTTAAAAGTTTGGCATGACTATGACTTCTTTTGAAAGAAAGAAAGAAATTGATACTTATTATTCATCAAGGTCGCAGTGAACGGATCAAAAGTGTCAGTAACTTTACAAAAGATTTCAAATTAATGCTGTTCTGGAGTAATGATGCTGAAAATTCAGATTCGAATCACAGGAATAAATTACATTTTAAAATAAATTGTAATAGAAAACAGATATTTTAAATTGTGCAAATATTTCAGAATATATTTTACTGTATTTTTGATCAAATAAATGCAGCCTAAAACGCAGTCTGAATTATTTTGTGTGTGTGTTTGTGTGTGTGTTTAGAAGTTAAATGACACTGAGAGTGAGAGGCTGCAGGTGCAGATTCAAGCGTATCTGGATAATGTGTTTGATGTTGGAGCGATGTTAGAGGACGCCGAGGCCAAAAATACAATAATAGAACATCTAGAGGAGCTGCAAGAACAAAACACACAGGTACACACACCCAAAACACACACACACACAATTACTTGAACCTATAATGATATAAGTCTGTTCTTATATAGTTCTGATATAAATGATTTCATGTACATATATATGTGCTTTTTGACTACAACAATAAAACAACATACATTATATATGATAATGAAATAATAATAAAGCATTGAATGCAATAAATGGATTTTCATTTTAAATTATTATTATTATTATTTATTCCATTATATTTATTCAGAGTTGTTTTGCAGTCTTTGGCATGTATGTATGTATGTATAAAATGCTAGAATACAACTATCTCACATAAGGCACATCCTATTTATATTTCGGAAATACACACACACCAAATCATATTTAAGTACTCAGTATGTTGTGTATCTCAGTTAAGCACTAGACTGCAGCAGTGTGAGAGTGAAGCTGTGGCGAAGACGTCTGCACTCGAGAAACAGAGTAGGAAAGAGGTGGAACTTCTGAAGGTAGCACAATTTGCTAAAACACACACACACACACACACACTTACTTACATACTCCTGTTTCCAGCCTGTGAAGCCTGGCTGTGTCTGTTTGTGTGTGTTTTCAGGACAGTGTGAAGGAGGCACAGGCTCAGCTCTCTCAGCTGCAGCAGAAGGAGAAAGAGAGAGACACACACAGTGAGAAGGAGCAGGAGCGAGAGAGAGAGAGATTGCGCTCTGCTAAAGCTCTGACTGAGCTGGAGAAGATGGTCCAGGTTCTGGTGGATCGAGGTCTGATCCGCATGGAGCGATCCGAATCCGGCTCTCTGGAATTACACATTATACCAGCCACTGACACAACAGGTGAAGATCCAAATATACATACAACCAGTGTTATAATTATATCATCACTTACATCAATTTTTATATCATTTCTATTTAATTCTAATTATACTTTTTTATTTTTTTATAATTTTTCTACATCATTTTGTATCATTTTCAGAGTGTAATCTGTTTGTTTTCAAATTTGTTTCATCTTTCCAAACAGGATTATTATCGCTAACTAAAACTAAACTAAAATAATAAAATAAATATAAATAATAATAATAATAAATAAATAATAAAAAAAAGTTTGTCATGTAAATTAACTGGAATAAAATGTAAACTTATTTTATTTCAGCTTCAACATTTCTCATTTTCATTTAGTTTAACTTGATGTACTAAAATAACTAAAACTAAAACTGAAATAAAAAATATCTATATAGAATTTGAAAAAACACAACCAATAAAAATGACAAAAAGCACAATAAAATTACAAAAGCTAACTAAAAACTTAATTTTTAAACTAAAATTAAAATGAAAACAGAAAATGTAAAATAAAAACGAATTCAAAATATTAACAAAAACTAGTATCTCAGATATACTAAAATATTTGGTAACCCAGTTAACCTAAAGTTAACCTAATCAATGAATTTCTAAACTAAATTAATAATACAATACAATACAATACAATACAATACAATACAATATAATATAATATAATATAATCTGGGTCCTAAAGCTAATTTTACAGATTATTATCAAATTTTATTTATTTTGAAAACTTCTAGCAATGTAATATAAGCTAAGATGATTGTATTTCTTTGAATATTATCTCTCTGTTAATGAAAAAAAAACATTATTAATTATCTTCTCTTTTAACCCCAAGATAAGAGTATAACGGAAATAAAGGCCTCACCTGTGATGCAGTCTCTGCCCCCTCCTCCTGTCCCCGCCCCTCCACCACCTCCTCCTCCGCCCCCTATGAGTGCAGCTCCGCCCCCTTCACCTTTACCTGGGAGGACAGGAACTGTAAAGACAGGTGAGAGAAATGATGACAGTCATGTACAGAACGACAAAACTATGAGATGTTGGAATGATTCTAATGAGTTAAAAGTAAAGCTGTAAACATTACACTGAAAGATTTGCTTGTGTGTGTGTGTGTGTAAGGTGTAAAAGGTAAGAAGCCAATCAAGACTAAGTATCGTATGCCACTGCTTAACTGGCAGGCTCTCATGGAGGAACAGGTGGCCGGCACCGTCTTCACAGAGCTGGATGACGAAAGTGTGCTTGGGGTCAGTTCTGTCTGTGTTTCGACTTATTGAAACTGAGGCACCTGAAAAGTAATGCCAGTTATTAACATTTGCTGTTTTTTGTTTTTATTCCTCTTGGAATATATTGTTTAATTATTGATAAAATATTGTCATATAAAACATTTATTAAAAAAATTAGAATTATTTTTGTTTTTAATATATATATATATATATATATATATATATTTATTTATTTTTTAATGTGTTTCGAACTTGCTCACAGAAATGCATGAACCAGTGCCACCTGAAAAGTAGTTAGAAACATTTGCTGCTGGCTGCTTTTTTTCTTGAAATATATTTTTAATTATTTCTAAAATATTCAAATGTAAAATATTCAATAATTCTATTTTTATAATTAATAATATTTATTAATATAATACGTTTTTAAAATTTATAAATGTTATTTTAATAAAAATTTAATTTTTTGTGATACTAACCTGGCTAATAGAAATACACCTGTTTTAATATTTATACATTTTATAAATAATAAAAAAAGCTAACATTTTAAGGGGTAGTTTTTGGAAATGCACAAAACTACATGAAAATACTACATTAAAAACATTTCCTGCTTGCTGCTTTTTCCTTCTTGATTATTAATATTTAGATATAAAATATTTTTAGAAAATAAAATAGAATTTAGTTTTTAATATCCATGCATTTTTGTCCTTTTGTTCTTGAAATATATATTTTTAAGAATTTATAAAATATTTATATATACAATATTTAAAAAAGAAATATAAATCTTGTTTTTAATATTTATACATGCTATTATAGGTACTTACATGTTTTAGAAATAGTCTCAAGCTGTTAGAATTAGCTCAGCATTTATCACTAGAATTTCCTTGAAGGTCTAAAGCTGCTGTCACTCACCTCCCTGTCTTTGCTCTGTCTGAAGGAGTTGAATATGGACGTCTTTGAGGAGTTGTTCAAAACTAAAGCTCAGTCTGCTCCTGTTGATGTCGGCACTCTGAAGGTGAAAGTGGCTCATAAAGCATCCAGTAAAATCGCACTACTGGAGCCCAACAGGGCCAAAAACCTCGCCATCACCCTGCGCAAGGGAGGCATGAGCACCGCACAGATCTGCACTGCGATCCAAACGTGCGTCCAGTAGCCACAATTTTGCTGCAACCAAAATGTGCATGTATAAAACTAATCCTGATACTCTCTTTGTGCAGGTATGATCTTGATTTGCTAAAGTCAGACTTTCTGGAGCTGCTGGAGCGCTTCATCCCGTCTGATTATGAGCTGAAGTTGATTGAGAATTACGAGCGTGAAGGACACCCCCTGCTGGAGCTGTCGGAGGAGGACCAATTCATGGTGGCCTTCAGCAAAACCCAGCGTCTGGCACAGAGAATCAGCACGCTGACCTTCATGGGCAACTTCAGCGAGAGCATCCTGCTATTAAAGCCTGTCAGTATATATGTTAGGAGGATGCATTTACTTGAATTTAACATCAAATTAAAATCGAATGAAAAAGAAATCTTGGTCTTATTTTGCAGCAATTAAATGCCATCATCGCTGCGTCCATGTCAATCAAATCCTCCAGCAAACTCAAGAAGATTCTAGAGGTAAAGAGAATCAATTTTCATGTGCATAGAATCATTTATGTAGTGAAAGCTGATCTTTCTCTTTTTCTAGATCATTCTTGCATTTGGGAATTACATGAACAGTGGGAAGAGAGGATCAGCATATGGATTTCGACTCCAAAGTCTGGACCTGGTGAGAGAAAACATCTTTACAAAAATGAGATTTTGGCATATAAAGCAGATTTACAGTTTTAGTTGATCAGTGTCACTGTACACTTTCTTTTCAGTAGATGGTTCACGTATTGTGTTTATACACTGAAAAAAATGTGGTAGGATTTACTCTGAAAACCCTAAGAAACTGCAAGTAACACATTGCGATATTTTGAAGCAGAAAAAGTGGAAAATTGTCTTGTCCGTTAATTTTTAGTTTAGCTCATTTTTTGTCATATACTGTATATAAGGTCAAATAAATGCATGCCTCATTTGCTATTGTTTAATTGTATTTTTGGACATGTATGTCATGTAAACTTATTCAGTTTAATTGAATAGCATATTTGAAGTAAACTATGAAATATTTACCTTTATGCATTTGGCAGACACTTTTATGACTTACATTGCACGAAAGGTATATATTTGATTAGTTCATGATAAATGTTTTGTTGATTTATCGCGCATCTCTCACATTTTCGCTCTCAGCTTCTGGACATGAAATCCACAGATCGAAAACTGACACTCCTGCATTTCATCGTCAGCATCATACAAGAAAAATATCCTCAACTGCACAGCTTTCACACTGAACTACACTGTCTGGATAAAGCTGCACTGGGTGAGTGTTGCACATGAACTCTCATCAACTCGACACTACAGCTCTAAGTGTGTGCATTTTTTTTATTATTTATAAAATATCTTAAACTAAAATATTAAATAAAACGTATTTAAAAAAAAAATAAAATATATAAAATACAATAATAAAATATATATAAAAAATAAAATATATAATAAAATATAATAAAATAAAAGTTTCTAGCTAGGCTCATAGAAATGCATGAAACAGTCCCACCTGAAAACAGAGTTGCTAAAACATTTGCTGCTTGCTGTTTGTTTCCCCTTATTGTTTTTTTATTATTAGATAAAATATGTTTTAATATAAAATATTTTTCAATTAAATTTAATTCGTTTTTGATATTAATATGTGTTTTTAATTATTTATAAAATATTTTAATAAAAATATTTTTCATAATATAAATATAAATATTTTAATATAAAAGATTTTTTTTTAAGTAAAATTTAATTATATGAAAATATAATCCTCAAACGTCTTGAGAATGCTGAGGGGAATTTAGATGCTTATTTAAACACAAAATTTGAATGTCCACAAGCTTTTACCTAGATCACATACTCTAAAAAATGCTGGGTTAAATATAACCCAGCGCTGGGTTAAAAAGGGACAAACCCAGCTATTGGGATGTTTTGACCAAGTGGGTGGGTTCAAAACAACCCAATAGCTGGGTTTGTCCCTTTTTAACCCAGCGCTGGGTTATAGTTAACCCAGCATTGTTTAGAGTGCACGTTTTATCTACGATAAAGTACAATTAAAGCGCATAAAGGAATATTTGCAATTATCAAAATCTAAACAAAGGCAATCAAAACCGAAAAATCAAAACCAACTTTGAAGCTAAAAAAATCCAGACTGGTAACCTAAAGGTTGTAAGTTCAAATCTCAGTTTGCTGAAAGCATCTGCTAAATGAAAGCTATATATTTATACACTGACCTGCATGTTTCTCTCAGTCTCTCTGGACAGCATCCTTGCAGATGTTCGATCTCTGGAGAAGGGAATGGAGGTGGTGCGTAAGGAGTTTCTCCAGCAGAAGGACAGCGCTATCCTCACAAACTTCATGTCTAAAAACGGCAGTCTGCTGGACTCTGTGGTCAAAGACAGCAAAACTGCAGAGGTGGAGATGAATTCAGTTCTGTGTGAAATCCTTTCTGAACAGCAGTGAATAATAGCTTCTACGTGACTGGATCGTCTGTGTGTCTCTACAGGAGGTCTATCACTCAGTGGTGGAGTATTTCGGAGAGGATCCCAAATCCACACCTCCTTCTGTGTTCTTCCCTGTTTTTGCCAGGTTTATCAAAGCATACAAGGTGATGAAATTATTACCCAGTGTTTATATCACATCAGCATATATCATACTGGTATTGCATACTGGAAATTGCTAGAAAATTTCACAAATAATTACAAAGAAATGGCAAGTAACAAATTGAATTAAATCTTTAAGTGGAAATGGCATTATAAAATATACTACAATAATGTTTGTTTTATTTACAACTTTAAAAATATATTTTTTTTTACAGTGAATAAGCCTGACATGAAATAGTGAAATTTTCTGATAAATTAATTATATCTGTTTTAAAACCCCATATGACACCATATAGTGCATCTTCTTTATGCACCAAGAGCTTGTAACACTCCAAAGAGAAAGGAAAAATTGAAATCTCATCATATGACCGCTTTAAAAAAAAAAACTGAAAATTAGAAATGTTGCCTTGGCAACTAACTGAAATAAATAAAGTAAAATAATCTAAATTAAAACAAATAATAAATATTTAAATAATATTAATAATAATAATGACAAAAGCTCATAAGAAGATGATTAAAACTTCCAAATAAAATGTAAATATTAGATGAAAAACAAGCTTAAAATGAGAAAATTACAAATGCTGCTTTGGAAACTAACTGAAATAAATAAGTTTAAGTAATAAAATTACTAAAACTCCAATAAACATACTTTTTTATATACAGTATATAAAGTATAAATAAATTAGACAAATAAAAATAGACAAAAACAGGCAAAGAGACAACTTTAAAAATTAAAATGAAAACTGAAAATAAAAGCTAATTAAAAATATTAATAAATACTATAAATACGCATAAATAATATTAAAATAACTGAAAGAGGTTACTTCTAGAATCCCCGTAAAGATCCCACCCAGACATCACACTATCTTTAACACCAATCCTATTCTCCTCATCTAGTACAGATAGTATGCAAGTTGGCACGCTGCTTTGTACAAATCATTTTTCTCCAGTCTTTCCTCTGGCATGTTGACTGATGGATGAATCTCTTTCTCTGTAGCTGGCCGAGCAGGAGAACAAACAGCGCAAGAAGAAAATCTCGGAGACTGATTTCGGCACAGATTTACCCATCTCTGACCCTCCCATGAGCACAGCAGTGAGTAATGTAGGAATGCGTGATTGACAGAGACAGAAATAGTGGAGAACAGGAAGTGAATATGAAGGACTCACGGGTTTGTTTATGTGTTCAGATGCCGGCGCTGCCACGCTTCCCTCAGGTGGATCTGATCGCAGAGCTGAAGCGCAGGCAGATGACGCCGCTCGTGAGAGAGGGCAAAGACGGAGCCATCGAGGACATCATCACAGGTTCCTTACAGAAAACCAGTGCCTTAACTTTGAATATTACAATAAACTTGATTTGAGTGATAGTGATTTTACCATTGTTAGGGGTTGTAATATAAGTGGTGCAAATAAAACCCAAATCCTACCTCTATGCCAAATGTTCAGGGAAAAATAAAATAATTACAATTGACTAAATTTGATATTCTGCTTTCTATTGACAGCCATAGTTTAATGTACTCTAAAGGGGAGTAGAAAAAGATGCTGTCAACTTAAAAGAAAAATAACATTTAGATAATATTTTATACACATTTATAATAACATAAATGGATATTTATACATCATATATAATATAAATATATTGAAAAATAATTTATACAAAAATATTGAAAAATATTAGTATAAAGACCCATTTAAATGTTAAAACTGTAAATATAGTATCTATGAACTATAAAGACCCATTTATAAATGTTTTTATTTATATTTTATATATTTTTTAAACATTATAAATGTAAATATATAATATTTATAAACTATATATTGAACCATTTATATAATATACATTTTTATAAAGACTCATTTATACTATAAAAATAAATAAATGTATTTATAATCTATTAATATAGATCATAAATATACAGTATTTATTTTCTTTTGTATAAAGACCCATTTATACTATAAAAATATTTAAAAATATCTCTAAAAATATTAGAAAAAATGTTAGAAATGTAAAAATATAATATTCATATACTATATATACACACACACACACACATTGACATTTATTTATAGCCCATTAGCCTAACTGTACATTCATATAAAATTCAGTTTGGCCAGAACACTATGCATCTTGGGATTCTTTGCCTATTCTAATTATTTCTTAAATTATTTTGTCAGTTATTTCAGTCACTATTTTTTTGTTCCTTTTGATATTTATACTATATTGTGTATTTAGTCTGCCTGTCTTATTTCTGCGTTCCTCTAACGTCTTTGTGTGGTTGTCAGCTCTGCAGGCGGTACCGTTTACGGCCCGTTCTGGGAAGCGCTCGTCTCGTCTGTTCTGTGATTCAGGTTTCTGCGAAGGCACTTCTTTATAACCATCTCTCATTTCCTCTCCTCTGTCTCTGATGGTATCGCTCTTCATCTATTTATGCTCTTCTGTAACACTCCCTCAGTTCCTCCGTGTAGATCTCTGATGTTTCCCTTTCTTTCAAGTTTTTGAAAAGCTCAAAAATCTTCAGGTATCTTCATCGGTTATAGTCTGACCGTGTGTGTGTGTGTGTGTGTGTGTGTGTTTAGATTTGAGGAAGCAGCCGTACATCAGAGCAGACGGAGGAAGACGAAGCTCCAAATGGAAACCAGCTCAGCAGCTTCCCGTGTCGTCTGACATCTCTCTGTGAAACACACACAGCTCAAAGCATCTCGCGACGAAGCCACACCACACATGAAGCCAAAAACAGTTTACAAGAAACATTTAAACAGCTACATTAAGCTATTTGTATATCTAAATTATAAACGTTTAACTATTTATGTACAATATAACAAACAGCTTGGTGAATCTCAAGAAACCTGTCAAGAACGTGCTTGTATATTTTATATATATCGCCCCAAAATTGCAAGAATAAAATTAAGAAATGTGAAGAATTGAAATGTGCTTTCAAAATTTGCCCCAAAATTAAAAGGAAAAAAAAAAGAAATGTGAAACATTTGAACATGTGCTTGTATATATAATATTTAACTAAAAAAATGCTAAAAAAAAAATTAAGAATTTGAACATGCTTAAGTATTTCATATTTAGCCCTAAAATTTAAAGAAATTAAGAATTTGAACATGCTTAAATATTTAATATTTAGCCCTAAAATTAAAAGAAATTAAGAATTTGAACAAATGGAAACCAGCTCAGCAGCTTCCCGTGTCGTCTGACATCTCTCTGTGAAACACACACAGCTCAAAGCATCTCGCGACGAAGCCACACCACACATGAAGCCAAAAACAGTTTACAAGAAACATTTAAACAGCTACATTAAGCTATTTGTATATCTAAATTATAAACGTTTAACTATTTATGTACAATATAACAAACAGCTTGGTGAATCTCAAGAAACCTGTCAAGAACGTGCTTGTATATTTTATATATATCGCCCCAAAATTGCAAGAATAAAATTAAGAAATGTGAAGAATTGAAATGTGCTTTCAAAATTTGCCCCAAAATTAAAAGGAAAAAAAAAAAGAAATGTGAAACATTTGAACATGTGCTTGTATATATAATATTTAACTAAAAAAATGCTAAAAAAAAAATTAAGAATTTGAACATGCTTAAGTATTTCCTATTTAGCCCTAAAATTTAAAGAAATTAAGAATTTGAACATGCTTAAATATTTCATATTTAGCCCTAAAATTAAAAGAAATTAAGAATTTGAACATGCTTAAGTATTTGATATTTAGCCTTAAAATTAAAAGAAATTAAGAATTTGAACATGCTTAAGTATTTCATATTTAGCCTTAAAATTAAAAGAAATTAAGAATTTGAACATGCTTAAGTATTTCATATTTAGCCTTAAAATTAAAAGAAATTAAGAATTTGAACATGCTTAAGTATTTCATATTTAGCCTTAAAATTAAAAGAAAAAAATCGGAAATTTGAAGAATTTGAACATGCTTGTATATTTCATACTTCGCATTAAAATGAAAGGGGAAAAAAATAAGAAATTTGAAAAATTTGAACATGAGCTCATATATATCATATTTTGCACCAAAATTTTTAAAGAAATGTGAAGAATTTGAATGCGCTTGTATATTTCATACTTTGTCCCAAAATTAAAAGAAAAAATAAATCAATTTGAAGAATCTGAACATGTGCTTGAATATTTCGTATTTCGCCCCAAAATGCATAAAAAATATTTAAGAAATTTGAAGAATTTGAACGTGCTTATACATTTCATATTTTGCCCCAAAATTAAAAGAAACAATTATGAAATTAGAAGAATTTGAACATGTGCTTGTATATTTCGTATTTTGCACCAAAATAAAGAATTTGACATTTAAAAAAATCGGTGGTTTCTTCTGATTATGGGGTGAAATAAAGCATATTCCTGACAGATTTTGTGAGATTAACCCTTTAACAACTGGATTTTCAGCTACATTTTGTCACTTTATATTGATCTTTACATGTATTCTTGAAATGCTGACTGTACACTTACACCAACTACTGAAAACTAGCTTTGTCTAGTATGTGCATATTTATTTTTTTCCTATGAATCCGTTTTTTCTTTCTGTGTATGACATAATAAAGATTTTATACTGGATGAAAAATTGGCATTTACAAAAAAAGCACCGCAATTAGCGCACGAGACTGTAATAGAAGATATTCACTTTAATAGTCACAAAAACAGCACAAGAACATTCAAAACCAACAGTCTCTTGTACATACACAAGGTTTTTCAACATTAAAACAACTTTTGCATTATCCATATAGATATATTTCTATTGGTCAACATTGCATTCACACTGTTATTGTTTTATCACAAGAAGTCGTCGATAGATTTATATACATTCTATATGTTTCATTAATGAAAAATGTTTTCTTTTTTTTTTTTTTGGACATGTTAAAATTCAGAGGTTTGGAATGCTTGAATGGTTTGTTACAGATCAGACAACACTGAATAAGATCCGATTGACCCGTCTACTCACATACAACTATATTTATTAAAAAAAAATCTCTTTATTAATACAGAAATCCATCTATCTTACACTTGTAAACAGAACTTATAGAGAGAGGATTCTGCATGCAGACTTTGAGAGGATATCTACGTGCAGTTCAGATCTCTCAAACGCTTTTGGTAGAAAAAAAAAGCTTACAAAAAATACCCTAATTGAACATATCCATGATCATACAGTTTATATACAGTTACACAGTTCTTCTGTTCATATATTTTGGACGTTTCTCAGTGTTTTAACACAGCATATGGTGCTCGGATGTGTGTCGCATCAGAGTTTGGATCTATTCTACTTCAATTAAGTCATTTTAAGACACGAAAAAGAAAGTTATGAGGTATGTATCAGGCATCTGATGGACGTCTTATATATACTGTAGCTATATATATTTCTTAGCAGAAAATGGGAAAACAATGGCAGTGGGGCAGTTTACAATCCCTTGGGCATCCATTAAATATGAATGAGAATATTGATCTAAACAGTCGATAGCAATTTATTATTCACCGCCAACTGGTTGTTTATCATACGTTGCTAATACGTCCCAGTGACACAAAGTGCTTCACACGTACAGTGTAATGTGCTGTCAAATGTTACGTAACAAAATATATGCTTTGAAATGAAAGCCGCTCTCACACTTCCGATCCACTGGGGGAAACACATCGAAAACTGATTCCATTCACATAACAGATCCCAGGCTTCATTCTTCACTTCAACAAGTCATACAATGGGAATTTGGATAAGGCATGCTATCTAATGTTAACACATTCTCCCTTTTTAGTATAAAAATACAAAAGTTAATCTTATATAAAATATCTATCTTATACTAGATAAATATTTACCAATTATTTGCCAGTAGCGTCAAAATTTTTACCATTTAACTCTGAAGGAATTTTTTGTTTGTAGTTGTGCTACGGATAGTTTCTAGTTGGATTTTCTTTACAGAAAGTACAGTCTGCTAAGATTATTTCTAATTTCCTCTCTAAGACTGACCCAAACTACACATCAGCTAAAGGGTGAATCTCATGAAACCTGTCGAAAACACGTACCAGTCGTATTTCACCTCAAAATAAAAACAAAGAAATTATTAATTATATTTTGCTCACAGAAAAAAATCTCATTACTGTAATGCACCAAAAATACATTTAAAAAAATATATTTAATATATTATGAATGACTTAAATTGCTAATTGCATTAAATATGTATTTACTATATTTATTATTTACTATTTTTATTATTAAACTTGCTAATCTAAAACTAAACTTACTGTTAAATAAAACATGTATAAATTAAAATGCATTACATTTTTAAATTAAATTACTATATTGCACTTGTGTGAATTTAAAAATAAAGCGTCAATGAAAATTTAAAAAAATTTTTTTTATATA